AATGGGGGATCGGGCTCAGGATATTTTCTTTTTTGGCTGTCTTTCACATGGTAATTGTGTTTTGTTTTTGTTAAGGTTATATGATGAAAATTATCATATAGGCATTTTTCAGGAAAGGGGAAGAGGGAGGGAAGAAGAGAGGGCAGAGATATGCAATCAGCTGTCTAACAAGATGACGATGAATCAGCATTAACCTGCTTAGAACAGTGATTATGGTGGCTGGTGAGGGAGGGACATTTATTTAAATTCCTCTCGCATGTGTCCTGGTTTAATCAAGTACTCACTTCTCCTGAAAACACTCACCCTTCTAACCTGCATCCTCTCTTCCTTTGCTTCTCATTTTCTTTCCCAGAATTTCTCACTCATAATTGCATCTTTGAGCTTCTTCACAGGGCTCTAATATACAAGCAGAGTGAACCCTTTGCAAACAAACAGCATTGTCCATATAATTTCATATGCATTGTTTGTTTAAACATAACTAGATAAATCTGAATACAAACTTTACTCAATAGCTAGTACGCCTTTTTATCAGTAGTTTATATGTATTTATCACCTCAGAAAAAAGGGACTTTGGGGTTTGTTTGGTTGGTTGGTTGGTTGGTTGTTTTTTTATTGTTTTTTAATCTGGGCCCATTTACCATATTTTGCATGTGTTTCTAGTATGATTTAAATAATTCACTCACAGTTGTTACAAAAGGCTAAGATTTGGCAGTGAGTGGACATCTATGAGGTGAAGATACAAGTTAGGACCTTGGCACAACAGATTTCCCAAACTTTAAAGCAGCACCTTAGTTGTTAGGTGTGGTTTGTGGCTCCAGCTATGAAGATAGTTATAATAAGCAGGACCTAAGAGGGAAACAAGTATTTTTATTTTCATAATATTTTTTTTTTATAATATGATATACACCAGTGTACCTGATATACCTTATATACTAGAGTACTACACTCTTCAAATATGTAAGTCAAAATATCATTGTGAATCAGTATTAACTTTAGTGCAACAATTTTTTAAGCAGAAAAAGCCAAGGTCAATACCCATAACACTGGAAAACTTAGTATCTGAAGCCAATATTTGGTGTATCTGAAATGAACTTGGTCGTTTCAGTTCCGTTTCTAATAGACAGGTGTCCACATCAAAAAGCTACCATCATAAGTGGTGCTAACCATATTTTTCTGATTATATGCTAATATTCAGAGAAGTGACCCTCCTTTTTCATGTTCAGTTTTAGGAAAAGCAGATTTCTTCCCTAGATATAAGTCAATAACTACAGAAAAAAAGACCTTGAACGGCTATTGTCTTTACAAAATCCCACGGGAGAATCAAATAAGCAGGAAAAAAACAAAAGTGTCAGAAGGACTACAAATACTAAAAAACTGCTCTGAGAAATGTTTAGACTCAGTATTTGAGTATTGCATGCACATAAATACTGCAAATACAAAAGTCAAGACTGTTGGGGGTCCAATTATAGTTTGACCCCGCATACGGTTCTTTTGGAGGAAAAATTAAGAGTAGACTTATAATAAGAACAATACAGCAATTAACATCCTTCAGAGAGAGAGAGAGAGTTACCAACTTATCCATGAAGGGGATCTTTGTGGGCCAGGAAGGAATTATGTTAGAAGGCAGCTTGCACTGCAGCTGTCATAATGTGGCTCTTCACATTTGAAGAGCAGATCAGTCCCTATGGCTGTCAATCCAGCACCTTTTAGGAACTAAGATATACTGTCACTGCAAGCACAACCTCTTTCCTGAGTACTGGTTAGTCCTGTTATCTGAATCCTCTGTCTACTGTAGAGCTGTAACTACATGTTCTGTTGGAAGCTGGAAGCCAGATTGGACATGAGAAAAAAAGTCTGTGAAACAGACCTGTTTGTTTAATTGCTCAGGTTAAAGTTGGCTTACAAATCAGTTAAAAAGGGGAATCAGGCCAATACATCCATTGACTTAAGTGTGTCATTTAGTCAATAAAAATCTGTCAAGAAAAGAGGGCTCATGCACAGAAGCAGGTGACTCCTGAAAAGGTGAGTGGGAACAAAACCTGAAAACTTGCTTAAAAATTGTTTTCCAACTATTTAAGTTGGTCTAATAAAAGATATCAGATTCACCCAAAGAACCTTGTCTGCTAGTGAGAACAAAACGTTTTTTTTTCTGTAGTCTGAGTAGTACATCTTCTTACAGGACATCCATAGTGGGATACTTAATAATGTGAGAAACAAAACACTGCCAGGCTGGTCTTATCTCTTCCTGCCGCTATTAAAGCAGGAGCATTCCTACTCTTCCCTGATTTGCATGTATTTCTTCCTCTTAATAAGAAATAGTATAAAGTCTTTCCAAGATGTACTGTTCTCATAGTTATCTCACATGACAAGCAACAATTTGTTGCTTTACCTGCCCCCTACAGCAGCACTATTTCTGCCCATATATATGTCAGCTGCAGACACACCCAGCACACCTGGGGGGGGTTCACATATATATGTTTGTTCTATTGCTGGGTACCTATGATTCTGTGTTATGAGTAACAGAAACATTGAGGTTTTGTCACTACAACCACACTATACCCTCTTCAAAATCTAATAGATATAGTCAATTTGTCTTCATTTTTTGTTTCTTCCTTTTCCTCCATTTATAATTCCCCTTTCCCTCTTGCTTTCCCAGTCCTTCCTCTCCTCACATATCCTCCACAAATACACTGTAGAAATACCTTTAAGCCAATTTGAAAAACACTGCCTTCTAGAAGTGATTGTTCCTGTGCATTCAGAGTATCCTGACATAGCTTGTTCATAGTCTGCATCTGAACTAGCATTTTGTTTAAAATTTCCATTAATATAGTAATAGTAGAAGCTGTAATGTAGATCAGCCACTGCCATTTTAACTACCTTGCCGGTAAACCCTGCTCAGAACATAGCAGTAGCCTGTCTGTACTAATGCTCCTATTGATGCTAAAACTGCAAAAAAATTGCTATGCTGGTGTGAGTGCATTGGTGGGAGATTTGAAAAAAATGCTAGCATAAAAAAGGCCACCGTGTTCACTACTGTTTCCAGGAGGTTCATCCCAAGAATTGTGACAAACTAGTGCAGTCCACCATATAAAACACTTAGGCAGCTGCTCCTTGTGGATGCAAGGCATAGAATGAGCTGCAAGTTCAAGGGCTTCCAGTTGATGCCTATTTTTAGCATCGTTTTGCATAGTGCCGGCAGTGCCCCAGCATCTCTTCAGCTGAAAGGCTGCAGAAGGAGTCAGTGTGTTACGTTGGTGGCAGTCTGCCCTGCAGTCTGTGTATTCAAATCCCACAGCAGAAATTAATCCTATATCCAAGCTTGAGATTGCCATAGAGGTAAAATATGCAACTTGAGGTTTTGCTTATATTAGAGCTTCCCCTAAAAAAAAATCTCAACATTCATATGGCTCTCTCAGCTCCCCTGGAGGTGTAACACTATGGGACAAGGGTTAACAAGATGCTGGCAATCATCTGTCTTCTCGCTGTGGTATCCTCTCCCCTCTTTGTGTTTGTTCAGTTTTTTTTCTTTAGATTGCAAGAGCAAGGATTTTCTTGCCTTCTCTGTTTAGAAGTACTTAGCACATTGCAGGCACTAAGGGAAATGAATAAAAAATGGTAAAAAGGAGACCAGATTGGAAATCCCCGTAAGTATGAAAATATTTTTGCCAGATCATGGTAATCGTTTCAACTGTGTTAAGGGCTGGAATTGTTGGGTGTGACTGCATAAGGTCATATAATAAGAAAAGTGACATTCTCCGTCTCTCATCCACTTTCTGTGTAGCCATGTACAATTTAACAAAATTGCTGCTCCTATTTCTGTCTGGAAATCTTTGCCAGACATCATAGAATTTCTCTGTTGGGGCTCCCCATATTGATCTTAGAAGTACAATGTCAGTGTTCTTTAATGGAAAAAATAGTTTACAGGACTGTGCAGAGGCTAGATTTCTTAGTTGTGTTTGTATAATAAGCTGACCCAGCTCTCACCCACTGACTCCTCAATTTACATCTTCACTGACTGCCTGTCTCACATGCATACCAGCCCAGCCTCTGGCTCCTTTACTATTCATTCCACCCAGGAAGCGCACGCACCAACTGCAGAGATTTCCTCAGCTTGACAAAGGGTTTTTAAACCCAAAAACTTGCCATTTTTTTCCCCAACTATTTAAGTTGGTCTAATAAAAGATATCAGATTCACCCAAAGAACCTGGTCTGCTTATAATAGGAGGAGGCTCTCAGGTGCTACCAATAATAACAATGCCAATTATAAGTAATGAGCAATAATCATTATGGAATTGATAGTGTATGGCAAAACCTTTTGCCTGTAGGTGGCTGATTTGAATCCAGGTCAGGTAAGTAGTAATTGAAAGTCATTACTGTCTTCTGGCTGTTCACTGGCCTGAGAAATAGGAGTTTTCTGGTCAGTCTTTATTTCCCATACCATGTCTTTGTTGGCAGCCTGAGCAGGAGGAGTAAATGTCAAGTGGGGCTGGGGACCGAACTCCGGATTCATTCTCCTTCACAACAAAACCAGGCAGGGAGATCCGGAACAGAAATTCGATAGACTGGTCTAATCTAAACTGATTAAATCTGATACTACATCCAGGTCTATCTTAAACCTGGTTCTACCATTTTGAAACTGGTCTATGTGCATTGAACTTCTGTTCTGTTACAGGTTTAGACCTGTTTCCGATCATCACTTATGCCAGTTTATGTGTAATTTCTGGACCTGGTGAAACTGACACTTACTGCTTGGGCTGTACCTGTTCCGTGAGAAGAGCGTTGCAAGGCCCCAGGCCAGCACCTTTCACCAGCACTAATCACATGGAAACCATAAGGGAAAGAAAGAAGAAAAGGTGGAGAGTGAGGTTTGCAGATCAAGTTTACCAAGACATCTAAGCAGCTGAATCAGGTTGCAGGGAGCAGAGGCTGGGCTATGCAAATCAGGCTTCTGTAAACCATGACAGGTGTGGAAGTTAAGAGCTGTATTAGTTTAAAGAGAGGCGGGGTGGAGCCTACCTACTAGTGCACAGAGTTTGCTGTAGTTGCTGCCATTTCAGCTCCGAGACACTTGAAGGGATAGTGCTCTAGAGGAGCTGCTACCATGTATAGGGCTACAGTGGCTGAGCCTTGCTCCTTACCTAATCTGCTTTTCTGCCACTACCTGTGGCTTTTATAGGCCAAGTTTTGTTTTCTGACTGTAAATTTGCAGCTTCTGCCTTTTTTTAATTAACCAAACATTTGTAGCCATTTCTCAAGCCATGCCTCCCCAGGAGCTGTTGGATTATTCACCTGCCCTGAGGAGGAGGAGAAGTACCCCAAGGGGCAGTGGCTCAGAGCTGGGCATTAAATGTGTCCTAGTAGGTGATGGTGCTGTGGGAAAGACCAGCCTGATTATCAGCTACACAACAAATGGATACCCAGATGAGTACCAGCCAACTGCCTTGGACACCTTTTCAGGTAAGAACCAGGTGCCCCTGAGGATTTCTGGCTGACAGTAGTATGCTGTTTCTTCCTTGTTGATTTTTCTTCATCTTCTTATTGGCATAATAACCTTGTCTATACTTGAAACAAGTTCTTAAGGGGAAAGACATGTTTCCAAAGGGCATAACTCCAACAGTCATGGGGACTCTAGGATAGAGACTACTTCTTAAAATTTTAAATACTGTGCTATCTCACCCTGTTCAAACCCAGTATAGTCAACACGGTGCTTAAAACAGTAGCAGGAGCCATCAGTCTGTCCACTTTGTTGAGGCTCCTAAATTTAAACACTGGAGGACTGAATGGTATCAGCAAAAAGTTTTGCAATGTTTCCCTGTTGCAGGCAAAGTTTTTTAATGGAAGCATTGAAGAGGAGGCTGTAAAGAGAAACCGGTTTTGTTTCTCATGCACGACTAGGGAGTCAACCTACCTGCTTGGCTAGAGCAGGGATAGACCTACAGAACAAAATTTGTGATATGCTGGAGTCAATGAAATTGGGGGGGGGCAGTTCCTTGGGTTAATTGGCCTAGCTGCTGCTTAGCTTAAGATGGAAGGAGAGAGGCAGCCTTGCGGAGTGTTGTTATTGAAGAATATATTGCATATATTCATGATCCATGAGGGTACTAAACTCCTCAGGTAAAAAACATTGCTTCATAAAGTCTATTGAAAAAAATCTCATTGGCTTCAACAGGGTCAAGAGTTCATATTTCTATAATGTCCCTCATCACTGCGCTATTTGAGTGTTTTTTACGACTATGTGCACTGAGACAGTTACTTTCTCCGAAGACTGCTGTACCCTAGTGAGGGGATCCAGGGAAAGGAATGGCCCTCTGTTTGTTTGCATTGCTGGTTAGGGATGAGATACCTAAAAAGAGGTAGCAGGATAGATTCATCTTATCAAAGTTGTGCAATTTAGGCTTGATATATTGGAGAGCTGTATGGGAATAGCTGTTGGGAATTCATGGGTGGTTCTTTCTCTGGTGATATAAGATTCCAGGAGAGAGATTTGTATGTAAATCCCTGGAGTTTTATTGTTCTGGTTGTGGTCCAAAAGAGCGTGAGGAAATCTCCTCTGACTAGTTGCCCTGGGGCAAGGAGGTTGAATTGGAGACTGAAACCTGAGGGCTCTCCCTCCTTATGCTTTGTCTTCATTAACATAAATAATTGAGCACATAAATAAGCACTGTCTGCTAAGTTTGCTTTGCATATTAGAAGACCCTGGTGTTTGATGGCTGTCTGGAAACAACTCTATAGATGCCTTCCTGGCTCCTGGAGGGAGAGAAGGATAATATGTTATCTCCCTACTTAATTTGTGCATTCTTCTGTACTTTGAGTTGTCACTCACTAACCCTAATTCGCCAGCCTCTGACCTTCTACCCCTCAGCCAGTCTGTGCTGTGGGCCCTATCAGTCCAAAGTTGGGCAGAAGTCAGGCCAGGCATGGTCTTGGGAGACGGCTCCTTTAAGTCTCTTTCAAAAGGAGGCCCTGCCTTTAACATAATAGAAAGGGTAACATTTTCCAAAAGTATTACAAACTTTGGAAAACACTTTCAAAGTTATTGACATTAAGGAGACTGGGTTCCGGTAACTTTTAGCAGGGCTTAGTTCTGGCCTCGGGCACTTAGGAGCCTATAATGGGGGTTTCTACCAGCACAGTTAAGCCATTCAAGGTTGTGAATAGGTGTGATTATGATAGACTTGGCTGTGCTGGTAAAAGCCCCTAAGCTGCTCTCTCGCCAAGGTGCCTCTTTTGCTAGGGAGTACTGCTAATACTAGTATAATGCCCATCTTTCCAGGTGTAGCTGCAGCCATGCTGGGAGTGCTTTGCCTTGTATAGGATCATATACCAATCTATCAGAAAAGTGCCCCCAATGTAGGCATTAAGTCACTCTTGAAATCGGGGCTTAGGCTTCTAAATCATTTAAACGCTTTGGAAAATGTCAGCCCTTTTGCTGTATGACCATCTTTTATCAATGATTTAAAAACAAAGCCCTGATGCAGACAGGGCTTAAGCATGTTTTAAAATTAGTTGATAAAGAATTTTTTCTTTAATACTGAGCTCCTGCCTCTCTCGTTACTTTCTTTGTGGATAAGGTCTAAAAGGTTTTTTTGGTTTTGTTTGGTTTGTTTGTTTGTTTTTTTTAAAGAATCCTGCTTGTGTTACACTTTTCCTTTTTCTAGTTTTTCTAGAAGTATATTATAAAGTCTTCTGTTCTAAACTGATGGCAGAGGGTCACCAAAGATGTCCTTTTGCCAAAATGGTTATTGCCACTGACACTGAGTAGGTGTTAACTAAAGAGGAGTTGGAAGACAGATTCAAAATACCTTCTCCTCTGCTACTGAGCTCTTGGTTGTCTAGACTCTCATAAATGACATTTTATGAGCTCTTCAGTCATCAGAACGGAGCAAAGTGGGCTCAAACTTTTAACATTTCAAAAAGTAAAAAGGTAGAAACAAGCTCTTAAAATTCATTCTTTTTCTGATCTCCTTTATCTGTTGTAAAGAAGCACAAAGTGGCATAAGCACAGCTCTTTCTTTAGCCTGACTGTTCTAAGCTAGAGATGAGCTCAGTTCAGGTTTGGCTGTGGATAAGGGAGCAAGGTAACTGTTGTCCCTCTGCTCTCACAATACTAACATGGTCAGTTTAGGAGACTGGAAGTATCATTGGACACTTCTAGTGACTGTATCAGTATCTTCTAAAGCAGGGGTGGGCAAAATGCAGGCTGGATGCAGCCCACCAGGCCATTTTATCTGGCCTGCAAGGCCCCTAAAAAAATTTCAGAAAATTAATATTTATCTGTCCCTGGCTGCCTGTCATGTGGCCCTCGATGGCTTGCCAAAACTCAGTAAGCAGCCCTCCATCCAAAATAATTGCCCACCCCTGTTTGGCATGAAGGCAGTGACAACTGTAGCTCAAAGAACCTAGTTGCCCTACCTATATGTGAAGTAAACCTAACTGTCTACAACTTTGAAATTGGAGAGAGACCTGCAAGGGCCTGGCATCCATGACAATTGGGACTTTTTTTTCACATTTGGGTGTCACCTATTGCCTACACTAAATCTAGATCTTAACTCTGCAGCTTGTTATCTCTAGTTCTAAACAATATACCATAAAGCCAGCACCAGTTGGGGAGTGATTTCATACAAAAGATGGGTGTTTAAATACCTGGGTAATGCTAAGAAACAGGGCTGCTACCCAGCCACTGTCTCTGTCCCACCTTCTGCTGGTGTCACATTGAGCTAGATCAGCAGTGAAATATGCACTCTGTGACCTTTCCCCAGCAGACTTTCCTGTTCTGCCTGCTCTTTCTTTTGTACTGAACCCTGGTATCTTTCCACAGGTGTGTATGCTGCAATAGTGGTAAGGCCAGCATTTCGGTAGAAGTCGAGTTGTGAGCATGGCTTGTGCTAGCAGGGAGGAACTTCCTCAGGCCAGCACTGTTGCAGGAGATAAATTATACTTCATATTTATGTGGTACCTTTCTTCTGAGGATCACTAAATGTTTCCCCATGTGTTACTTGCCTCCTTCAATATCCCTGGTAGGTGGTGAAGAAATAATATACTAAAAGAGAAGTACCCAGTGCCTTGAAAGATCAAGTCAGAATCTGAACAGTTCCTTTGATCAGGAATAGTTTCTCTTCCTCCCCTGGGGCAAAGATGTGGCAACAACTTGACTGTCCTGTAGCCATAAGGAAACTGTAGTTTCTCATAGCCTGGTAGGAGAGAATTGTGGTCTTGCCTTCCTCCCTCTCCCCCATCCCTCTTCATTCTTGCTGTGGGGGGAAGATGTCTTGTATTCAAAAGCTTGTCTAACTTTATCCCAACAATGTAGTTGGTCCAGTAAAAGATATCACCCTAAGAAGTCCTTCCCCCTCACAGTTCATTATTTTGTCTTTCATTTGCTTTTTCTGTCACAGTCTTCTGTCAGTAACAAAGATCTTTCTTCTCCCCAAGAGTGTGTATGAGGTCAGTTATTAACTATAGGTGTCAGAAACAACCTGAAGAGTAAGAAAAGATGCTTCTTTAAGGAAACAAAAGCAAAGTCCTCCAACAAAGTGAATGACTGCTAGCCTGTGCCCACTGTCACCTTAGTACAGGATCCTTCGTCAAGCCAGTGCTATTTTCACATTCTGTCAAGACTCTAATAATATATAATTTTCCACTCACTCCCCCTCTATAAGTTGCTCTTAGTTCTAGCCTCCTGTCACTGTTGTCTGAACTGTTAAATAGTCAGACGGTTTAACTCTGAATTTCCACTGGAAGGATACACACTACCTAATCTGAGGCAGCAGGGGCTTGTTAAGGCTTCCTTTGACTAGGGAACAATAATACAAATACAAAATCTGTCTAATTTACCTCTGACATCTTCACTGGTGGTAGAAATGGTAGCAGCTATTGATTCTCGGCCTTTCGGCTCAGATCAGGTGTAGACTAGAGGTGACAAGAACACCCAAACTCTATAAAAACATAAGGACTCAGGGTGCAGATGGGCCCTGAAAAAAATTTCTGGAGGAACTCTGACACAATTATTTCCTTTTTAAGCAACTGTTGTTTAACCATTTTCTCATGTCTGTTGCTTTCCTCAGCTGGGGTGCTGTATATACAGCATCTCCAAAAAAAAAAAAAAAAAAAAAAAAAGTCTTTATAAAGTCCAATCTCGGGTCCAAGGAATGGATGACTTGAGAAGCCAGACAGGGCAGATCACTATAAGTCTATAAGAGAAGCTCACAGATCATGTCCTTCCCTGACTGTTGTTTTAAAGTGTGGGAGAAAAACATTAAATTATGGCTTGGGTAATGTTTGACTAAAGGCTATCCCTAGAGAAGGCACTTGTATCTGAATGTCCTGGAAAAAAACTCCCTTAAGATGTTGAAACAATCAAAGAAGAAACTGTCCTTTGCTTAAACCACTTCAGGTTTCCCAATGGTCTCTATGCCTGCTAGGACAAGCTATGGGGGTGTTTTTTTTTTTTGTTTTTTTTTAAGTGAGACTTTTATAATACTTGGACAGGGTGAACATGTGCAATAACACAGAGTGATTTACTATAAAATTGATCCAGTTTGATAATTCAGTAGGACAAAAAACAGAAGCTGGGAGGGAGGAACTGATGCATGTGGATCAGAGACTTAAGTGCATGCTCATCCCCCTTCTCTCTCTCTCTCTTTTTTTACAGTGCAGGTCTTGGTAGATGGAGCCCCTGTTCGGATCCAGCTCTGGGACACAGCTGGACAGGTAAGATCATTAAGCTAAACTGAGGGAAAACCAATGCCTGGAGATTTGACAAGTGTGTAGGACAGGACTTATTAGCAGGTCTTGTGGGAAGGATTATGTACAGATTTGAAAGAAGGACATGTATGAGTACTGACATCATCATCATCGTCAAACCAAACTGGAGAGTTTCTTGTCCCTGAGCCTTGGCCCTCCAAAATGATGTAGAAGTGACATGGAGGGACCACGGTCTCATCGGTGTAGATCTGTTCCTAGAGTTTAGGCAAAATCTTAAGTGGCTGCACACAGCCTGTCAATCCCCCACAATAGATACTGACCTCAGCCTGGCACAGGAGATGTACTTTATCAGTGTCACCATGCCACTGGAGCATGCATATGGTAAAGGGCCTTCCAGGGGAGGGGTGCTCTTTGGAGAGCTGCTTATCACTGAGAAGAGCTTATCTCATGTAGAGTGAAGAAATCTGGCCCCAAGTGCATGCTTGTCATGTCTTGCTATATCTGTCATTTCTGAGATGCTGAGAGCATATTCCTAGTGTGAAGGAGTTACTGTAGTTTCTTACTGTGAGGGTTCCTTCATCTTCTTTCCCTCTTCCCCTGTAGGAAGACTTCGATTGCCTCCGCTCACTCTGTTATTCTGACACGGATGTCTTCCTTGTCTGCTTCAGCGTGGTGAACCCCAGCTCCTTCCAAAACATTACTGAGAAATGGATCCCTGAGATACGGACTCATAACCCAGGGGCCCCGGTACTGCTAGTGGGGACGCAAGCTGACTTGCGGGATGATGTCAATGTCCTGATCAGCCTGGACCGCTACCATGGCAAGCCTGTGCCCAAGCCTCAGGCTGAAGGCCTGGCTGAGAAAATCCGGGCTGAGGCCTATGTGGAGTGCTCAGCTCTGACCCAAAAGAACCTGAAAGAAGTCTTTGACACAGCCATTGTGAGTGCTGTTGAGCACAAAGCGCAGCAGGAAAAGAAAATGACGGCCAAAGGGATCAAAACCCTCTCCAAGTGCCGCTGGAAGAAATTTTTCTGCTTTGTCTGAAGCTAGTTTGAGAGAGGGGAGGGGAAAAAAACACCATGCCAGCACTAGCTCTATACTTTGGAGTGACTGGTCCTATGGCTCCAGCAAGGAGGCGGCTATGAGCTCCTGAGGCTGGCAGGCCTGGCTCTTGCTGGGTGTCGGCATGCCATGCCTAGGAAACATGAAATGGACTTCATTGCACCAGGCTATTGAATGGTCCATACAGCGTTAAGCACCTGGAAGATATGCTTGTGGTGCCCCAGATCAATGGGAGCTTTTAATACACTACACTAAGATTCAGGGCTACCAAGTGAGCCGGCTTCATGATGTCAGATGTGTGGTGTAACCAGTTTCTTGTTTGAAACTACCTAAAAGTCCTGTCCCAGCATTGTCCAACTCTGGTGTAATACCTGGGCTTTCTCTACTCCAGCTGTTCTAAAGTCTTGATTGAGAATAGGGTGAGGGCTTTTTGGGAGACCACAAGGTGGGCTGATGAGTCTAAAAAGTAGATCTCGGGTTTTCCCTCTAGTTCTGATCACTAAAGAAGATGGTGTTGTCTAGATAAATAAAGTAGTGCTCTTTTTTTACAGACCCTTTACCAGGGATTTCAAATACCTTTCAAGAGGGATTACACCTGAGGTATATCCCAGGAAAAGCCTAAAGGGAAGCACCCTACCAGCCTTATTAATTCATAAAGGGGCTCCCTGGCACAGTACATTATAGAGCTATAGCCACATGTTCAAAGTTAACGCTACTTAGGGCCCCTCCCCTGTTTGGGATGCCCTTGTAATTGATGTACAGAGGAGCACATAGACAGTGGTTTGATCTGAGGAGCCTGAAATGCAGCAGGGAAGTGAAACATGGGCAGAAAGAAGACAGAAGCAGGTAGTGGGAGAAGCATGTAGTGGAAGGAAAAGAAAAATGTGATGCAAAGGAGATGGAGGAAAGGGAAAGAAGGAAGGAAGCAAAAGAAAAAGGAAAGGAGGAAATGGGAAGGGGATGAGGAGGAACTAGGAAGGAAATCTTTTATCCTGTGACTATAGTTGTGAGATGTAAATAAGAGATTCTTTTGAGCAATAACAAAAAATTGCTAATGACCTTACCTTATCTCTTCCTGCCCCCCTCCCACCCCGGGCAAGGTATCATTGGTGCCTTGAGATCAATCTTCAGTGGGCATACTGGAGGTAGGGGCAGGGGAGAGGGCATGGTTTCTTTTCAAATCAAATCCTTAATTTGGGTGCTGTACAAAAGAGCAAGAGAGTGAAGTTCACCTTACCTCATTCAAGCCCTGGCCCTTGTGGCTGCAGAATGAGACCTGAGGTTTATAGCTCCTCGTCTCTCCTGCTGCTTTCTTAAAAGTCACACTGAAGCCAAGAACTGAAGAAGGAAACCCATAAGGTTCTGACCATATGGAGAAATCCATGGTGTCTGCTCTATGACCTGTCCTGGGAAGGAGCCTGTTCTGTCTCTGCCCCTGCTCCCCCTTACAGCAGAGCTCAAGCTCCTAATGAGTTATTCACAGTTCTCATTACTGAACCTTTTTTCCATGTCTGAAATCTTTCATAAAGACATTTTGCTCCAGTTCATGTGACAAGGAGTATGGCAGGCCTGCCTAGCAATGAATCCCAGCATGAGGCAGCAAGCTATCTTTCTTTGGGCACTCACTTGTGTGTTCTGTCTCTGGAAATAGTGTGTTAAATACTTTAGCTAGTCAATAGAGGCCAGAATGTGGCCCTGATCTAAATGCTGTGCATACAGGTCTTTGACAGTTTCCCCAACCACTTATAATCGCAGAGGTACAGCATATGAAAGAACCAAGCTCTGAACATGCAATGCAAAGTCATTCAGCCCAGGATGGAGGCCTATAGTCTGCATGGGTTGCATCCTTCTGTTAAAGATGAGGGTGGCTGGAGTTGTTCCATGTTGTACAAACTTGCCACTGAGCCCCTCCCTAGACCTGCAAAGCTTGGGCATCTCTTCCCTTATAAATGAACATGCCCCCACTGGTGCTAAAGCTTAAATTAATTCAATTGGATCAAGTTAGGCTGTGCCAGGCTCTAGACAATGCAGATGAGCAGCTGGAACTGAAGAAGTATCCTGGCATGTATTGCCATTATGCCTTCTTGGGCAGGACGCTGTAAATTGAGCATCACTCTTAGTCACTGACGTATTGCTGTGGGTATTTCTGTACAGTGTAGGGCAACACTGCTGTCCATTTAGTTCAGTTTGTATATTGGGTCTTTATGCATTTCCATACTCTGTGAGCACAAGCACCAAGATGTGGGCTGACATCAACCTTGTCATCCTGAGGATCAATTCCAATGGTAAAGGCACCTGTAGGATCCCCTGGGGAGCAATGGATTTCTCGCATTCCTCAGTGTGGAAAAGGTGTGGGGAGGGGAGCAGGCATTGTCCTGTAGTACCTCTACATAATCCAGGAGTTGCTTTGTCTTGGGAAAGAAGCTGTACTGTTAAAGAGCTGCTTTCTTCCACCAGTGACTGTCTGTCTAATGTTTATTCAAATAAAATGGTTCTATTTAAGTATGGCTGAAGTCTGCTCCTAATTTCACTAGTGGTAAGTGACAGGGGGCCTGATGAAGGAAATGGGATTGTTCTATGTGGCAGACACCAATGTAGCAGAGCTTGTCTTCTCCCTCATTAACCCCCATCCCCAGCTACTTTTTCCTGGCCCATTTTTTCATTAGCACTGGTGATTTTTATCCTCTCTGCTCTCCAGTCCAATGCATTGATGTCTTGCAGCAATGAGAAGCTGGATGTCTCCCACCTGTATCTGGGGGAGAGCTGGGAAGCCAGGCTGCTAGAGAGGAATTTAGCAGGAAGTTGAAGAATCAGTGGAAAAGAGATACACTGAAGGATGGGTGGGTGCTACTGCAAATCCATGACAGGAAGTGGGGGCTATTGCTGAAACACTGGTATGGGAAGGCTTCCTGGGAGCTGGACTGATTTGTTTTGCTCCTTCTGTGAGGTGCCCCAAGTTCAACCAGCCCCTGAATGTGTTGGTTGTGTTTTGTTTCTATTAAAAATGAAGCAAAAAAAACCACACATCTGTGTAAAGATCAATGCTGGAACCTGTAGGCTGCACAGAGACTAGGCCTAGCCTTGCTGCTTGCCACAGGGCTGCCCCTGATTATTAACTATTAAAGATGGGGGAATGATCTGCAATTGGAAGTAACAGCAAGGTGTGAATGAGCTCAGAGTGATTCCGTCCAAAGACCCACATCCTGTCATGTGAACAGCAAAGTGCCTAAAAGCTCCTGGAGACACCATCAATGAATAAGTCTGAACTAACAAAAGGAAGCTGTTTTTACAGCTTGCAGTCTCATGTTAATGTGTTGTTGGAATGGCCAAACTCATACTAACAGAAGGCAGGGGAGATTTGCACCTTTGAGATTAACTAAATCAGAGATGTATAGTATAAGTTTTCATAAGCAAAGGGCTTACTTCATCAGATGCTGTCTATAGGGTGCAAGTCTCCCCTGCCTTCTGCCTGACTTCAGACTAACACTGATACCTCCCCTAAAATCATACTGGGCAATGGGCATCTTTAAGCCTTATCTGCTCTTGCCCTGGCCACCTCATGTAGTAGCAGACCCAAGGTGCAGCCTGGTAATCATTTGAGCTATGGCCCAGTTCAAACATGACTTGGCCTTGCTAGGCAGATTCACCCATGTTCCAGCTGTGTCTTGGGATCATGCTAAGGCCTTGAACAATGGGATGGAGCAGACCCAGAGGTGTGACAATGAGAATGAGGCTTGGGTTTGAATCAATATCATCTGCTCCAGGCAGGTTTCACTACAGAGGGTCTGGCCTGACCCAGAGAGAGACTTGTTTAATAAAATTGCCTTGCTGTATGCATGCTTCCATGCATTTTTCATGGATTTTAAGGCCAGAAGGGAGCCTGATAGTCATTTAATCTGATCTCCTATATCAGTGGGGGGGGCAACCTTTTTAGCAGCCACGCTATAAATTAGCCTTGCACACTTGCCAAGTGCCTCTCCAACCCCTTTCCCTTAACTGATCTTCTGCACAGCTTCCTGCTCCCTACCTCATCTGATGCTCTACTTTCTGCTTCCTACCGTCTGCCACTGTGTTGCCTTTCCCCTTCCTAATCTGCCATGACAAACACAGAGGCTGCCTGTGCCATTTGCAGCATCCACACTGAAGGCTGGCCCTGTCCTATATAATATAAGCAGTAAACTTCAAAGAAAAAATATGTACAAAATAGATGGTGCATCTCTTATTTGCCCACAGATCCATGCCCTGACTCCTGGTCATCACTGTCCTGTCTGTCTGTCTTACATGCACTCAAGTAAATGCTGGAGACTTTTAAGGAAATACTTGTAACTATGAGCTACATGGTTGTGTGAGGCCATTTTTTCTCCCTGGTTCCATCAGCCCAGTCCTACTCTCATTTGATGTACTCAGGGCTCTGTTCCTACTGCAAAGTTTCTGCCCTTCTTACACGCACAGCCCACCTGGTCTGTTTACACCGAGGACATAGTTCGGGATACACCTGGTTTGCCCGCTCTTCAGCTCTGCCAGGATTTAAAATGTTGAGGGCAGGTGACAAACTGCTGATGCTGCTTTAAGCACCATGGTCACATAACCCTGCTTAGAGTAGTTGTTCTAGTCACTGCTGGTAGCCATGCACTTATCCGCACTTATCTGCACAAGAACCCCCAACATTGTTAGCTCTGATAGAGCTGAGCTCTCCTGTCAGCAAGCATGGGAAAACATCCCTGCTGTAAAAAGGGTCCTTTTGTTTCTTGTATGGAGCAACACACCCTAAATAAGCTTAGCGGTGCCTAATTTGCTCCCAGCTGGCAGGGCATCCCTGTGCTTCCTCTAAACACTGGCTGGGAATTAATCATCAAAGTGCCAGCCATTCAATGCAGCCTCCTTTTAGCTGCAGGTGGGACAAGGCTTTAGGGTCCCTGTAACATATGCTTAGGGCCTGTTGACACTGCAAAACCAAGCTGTGTTTTTACCATATCAGGGGACTGCTTGGTTGCCATGGATGCAGTAGCAGAGCTGAATTTGCTGCGCAGCTGAAACATTTGGTGTCAGAATGGCACTAATTAAAACTCCTCACAACCTTGTCTAAATGCAGCTCTCACCAAGAGGGCTCAAGCAATGCTCACCCTGGCTACAACGTGGCTTGTTTCCCATTTTACAAGAATTATATAACTGTTAAAATGCTATACTATAGACTGTGAGGATAAAACAGGTGTATAAGAACTACTGTACTAGAGTGCAGCTAGCAAGAACCTTGTTTTAGCTCCAACTTGCAGTGCAGCTCTGATCCTTTAACAGAAATCAGAGAGCTGTCCCATCCTGCATCTGGTCCTCCTCAAACCTGCTTGCTCATGTTCACTACAGAGTGCAGCCCAGGGCTTTCTGTATTAGCCAAGTATTCCCATCACATTAATACTGTATTGCACTACCAAAGATCTATTGCACAAAAAGAGGTATGTTTCAACCTATCCCTTAGACAGGTTCCTTTTACTATCACCTCATGTGATTGTCAGTTCCCAGGGTGACACTTTGCCCTTTCCAGCTTGGCCTAACTGGTTCTGGAAGCCAAGGATGAGATGTGGGCCCCATCTTTCTTCTCCCTTCCCCCTTGCAACCTGGCCCCCAGGGCTGTTGTGCTCTGCAATACACGTGTTTCTGCTTATATGGTGGAGCATCACTTTTTGGAAATTTGGCTCAGAAACAAGTTTCACCGCAAGACACTGAGCCAGGTTGTTTCTTTCCCATGAGATAATCTTGGGCGGGGCAGACAATCTCTTAAAATTAAAACACAATGAAAATAAATGGTTTCCCAGGGGTTATCATAAATCCTTCTTCTTTTGTTTTCTCAGGAGCCAAGCCAGGGGTTTATCACCAGCTCCATGTCACACAGGATAACTCTACCATCTCCAGAAGAGCTCAGCCTCAGTGCTAAGTTTCCAATTCTCAGCAGAGCTGGGGTGGAGTCATGCCTGCTGCTCCTCCAGCTGTGTATCAGCAATATAAGCCACCCTGTAGGAAATCCAGTGGTTGCCAAAGGAATTGGACTTCATGCCAGAAGTGGGAGGGGTGGGAAAACACATCCTTTTTATACAGGAGCATCTTTAGGCCTGCAAAGGATTAAGGATGTGCAGGACAGAGGGCTTCACAACCTGCTCAGTTTTGTTGAATACTGGAATATTGGAGAGAGGGGTCAACTGTCCTTCCTAAACAAGTCCCCACTACATCCAATCCTGCGGCAGCTGGGAGATGTTGGCCAGAAGTGCTCAGGCCCCCTTCACCCGCAGCTGCTGCTTGGTTGTCCAGTATTTATGCTCTGCCCTGTGACATATTTACAACCCATTGGTTTCTACAGTCTCTGAATACAGTGGCTCCACTTCTGCTCAGGCTTTCAACAACTGACCTGTGTGGAGTTAGGCCCTGCTAAATCAAGAAGAAGCAAGAGCAGTGCCAGGTCTAGCAGAAAGAACTAGCACATACTAGTCTAATTACTGCCTGTGTCACAATTGTGCAGCTCTCCAAAACACAGTGCGACAGACACTGCCAAGGGCAAAAATGGGCCCTTGATTGTCTAACTGGGCCTTCTTTTGTCCTATGGGTAATTTGTTATCTCCCTTAAAACATAGCTAGAACAGGGCCCTTGATATATATGTCTAGACCACATATCAGAGGTTTCCCAATACTCCTCCAGATTCACTCGCTGGTGATGGCAGGACATTAGTTAGACAGGACTCTAGGTAGTGATTGTTGTTTTAAGTTCGGTGTTGGCTCTGCTGGCTCAGAGTAGGTTTACCCAATCCAGAGGTCAATGGCATTCATCTAGACCAGAGGT